CATGTCTTGCACAGTGCTTCCAGGTACCACTAGAGCCTAAGAGGGAGTCAGCATGCACAACTAAAGAGGAAAACAACTATGGTGGTAAGTCGCTGCGCAATCAACACCATTGCTTTGGACATGGACGGGCAAACTTTGTCGCACTGCGACCGGCACACTGCACAAATGATGTTTTTGGATTGTTTTGCGGGAAAAGGTTGCACATGGCAGCAACGAGCCTGACTCAATCTACATTCTACCTCGAGTGGGTAGCGGTATCTCGGGCATGAACCCTTCTTGTACCCATTCATTTCTTTTTGCTATTGGTAACAGCACTTGGATAATTCTTTGACTGCTTTTCACCAGCGGCCTGCCCAGGAAGTTTGTAAACATCTGAAAGTGGGGCATGTCAGACGTCAATTCTCAGACGAAAAAAGCGAGGTTTGAACCTCGGCCACGTGGGCTTTTTGCGACGGACTTCCGGGCCTTGGGCAGAAGACTCTGGCAACCTGCGCTTCAAGGCAGGGATCTGGGGATCTCATAAGCGCGACGTCTCTGAGAAGCGCAGCTGGCGGGGGCAAAACAAAAAAACCGATGCCATGCATACGTATATCCACCCAAGAGTGCTAGAGTTGCAACTTTAGCAGAAATTTTGTCCAATCGAGTCGGCCCTGTGTCCAACCAGCCGATGAACAAATGCACTTCCCCCGAACTTGAGGTTTCTTTTGAGTGAACGTCACCAGTCGGGGGGGGGAGCAACTGAACCAGTTCATTGCTGCCAGTGCAGGTACAAAGGCTTTAGCAAAGAAAGCCATCAAACCAAGAGCAACGGAAAGGTGCAGCTCAGGCAGACTCTCAGGGCTCGCTTTTTGACTGCGTGGTCTAGACTTGGTTGACGTTGGAAGGGAAGCAACAAAAAGTTCAGTGGTTGGATTTCAACCACTAAACCACAATAAGCCAAAATGGAGAAACAATGTTTCCCAAGAACAACCATGTAGAGGGACCCTCTTGAAAACGGCTTCATGTTCCCAAGGCCACGGTATTAACCCAGACACTCCCATAACTTCAGCGCAAGCACTGCGCTGACGACCCTCAAGCCCCAACCCGCCAGGGCTTCCAAGCCTCTTGGTCCTCGGATTGCAACCCCAGGCTTTGGCCCGGGTACGAGCAGCGCCCAAAACCCCAAAACCGATTGACTTTTGGTTCTACTAACGTTGTTGTAAAGGTTTATATATAAGCCTTACTATAGCCCGAAGTAAAGCATGTCGTAGAACTGCCTACTAAGATTGCCACTCGTGTTTTTGGGTGCTCAAGTCGAAATCGAGGCAAACCCAGGCGGTGCCTCTCCAAGACAGCACAGGCCAGCTGCTGGAACAGGCCCACGCCTGCGCTGACAGCACGGACAAACCCGGGCTCCCAGAGCCAAACATTTTTTCAAATGGGGAATTTAACCTGGTGGTGTCCCTTCTGCGTTCCTAGAAGCATCCCTCAAAAGGGTACACTCAAAACAGGACACACATTTCTCATTGCATGTCGCGACCTGGGAACTCACTCAACATTGGCCCAGAACTGCAGCTTCACAACCTTGCTGCATTTTGGTGGGCCACTCAAAGGGAAATGTAGTATGCTGTATCATCCCATGGTACCAGTATCCCCTTTGCAACTGTATGGCAGGTGTAACAGCCCAAATTAGCGTGTGGAAGAGGAGATGCAATCCCCACGCTTGAACGGATGGACACTTTCTTGAGAACAAAACAGAGCTACATATTCATGAAGCTGACAAGGGCATCGCTGTAAAAAAACATGGGTCCCGCGGTGAAAATATGGACTCGGCAGGGAGTGGGGAAAGAAAGACCGAGTGACATTTCGTGGCACCAACTGATCCGTTGACCGGTCTTGACAGTTCCTGTCAGTAACCAAGGGACGTGAATCAACGGCGTATGAATCACCGACATGGGATTGCCACTTGTTCATGGCCTTTCCAAACTTACTCACAAAGCGTCGCTGTCCAGGCAGGACTTCTTAATGCCGACACATGTCTATTTGATATATTTCATTGCACCATGAAACTAGATAGGCGAATGCAGGTTCCCAACCCGTTGCTTCCCGCTGCCTGGGGTGGAGTCGAGTGCTGAAAAAACCGGGAGAGTGCCGGCGGAGATCTATGTGCTATTCAATCACCCGACATGCAGCGCCCAAGTTGATGCTGCAAACCATCTAATTTGCTGGCCGATGGGGAATGGAAACCCTGGGAAGGCCAAATTGCATGAACCTTTGCTCAATGCTCACTGCCAACCAGGCTGCTGGCCGGCTCTTTGCGAACCAATCTCTTCTAGCCTTGCTGAGCTTGGATTCCTCTACAAATGGCGTTTTTTTTTGTTGGGTTCCAGGTAGGTTTTCAGGAGCGCATGATGAAGCCCGTCCGCGAAATTTGTCGGGAAATCCACGTCGGCGACCCTGGCCTCCTGTCGACAATGTGGCAAAGGCCCAGGCCACATTCGCCAGCTGCCGGGCGTCAAAC